GGAAGGAAGGAAGGAAGGAAGGAAGGAAGGAAGGAAGGAAGGAAGGAATGTTGAAGGAGAGAGATGGAGGGAGGGAAGAAGGAAGGAAGAGCACAACATTTTAATGTATGTTATCAGATGCTGCCTTGAGTGATGAGGTGCCTGCAGCCGGAAATGTCAGGGAAAAGAAAATAAGTACACATATCACCTTTACAATCAGCCAAGAAAAGGCAGGGTATGATTTCTCTAGAATTGGCTTTAAATGAGATACTTGATATTAGGTTACACAGAATTTTATACACTTTTGGTGCAGGGTCCTTGACCTTTTCCTGAGGCTTATTATTTACTGGTTAAGTTTTCATGAGGAGCAACCAATGTAAGAGAATGTGACATTTCAATAAATTTAAAATGAGTATGTCAGGCGGTGTCATGTAGTGGTTAGAGTAGCGGACCACAAAAAAGCTCTGTGTTCAAATCCCCACTGTACCACAAAACTCTTGGGTTTGTATTTCCCCTAAAAATAGTAGGAAAGTAAATAACACAGAGTAACACATTGACTCACTTAAAACGGTGCACCGTTAGTAGCACCAGATTTCCTTTTTTTGGCGGTCTTAATGGGTTGTATTTTTAAAAGCAACTTTCATAGATTTGATTTGAGTGTGAAGAAATGTTATCACATTGCTTGTTCTCAGTAAGGCAGGTTGTCTCAAAATGTTGAGGTGACATGTTGAGAGTTTGTTAGCACACACAAGCTTTGTTGCTTTTAGCACAAGAACAAGACAACAGGCAGCTTTATAGAATCATAGAATAATGGATTCTATTAGTTAGAAGGGTTCTGTAAGGTTATCTTGTCCAGCCTCCTGGACTTAATGCTTTATTGCGTTAAAGTTTCCACAACGGGTGCCAAATGCTTGTGTACAAAAATTGGTGCACAAAAGCTGGTGTACTTTCACAGACAGAACAAGCGTGAAAGGGGTAGTTAATTGATTAAAAAAATGCCATCTGGCACTTCTTTAAAATAACATTTAAAAAGATCCATGCAACAAAGCAACACCTATTGTGGTTTAGCTTAATAAGTGTCATGATTCATACAATCTCTCCAATTCCTAGCGAAGTTAATTCTTGTAAATGTGAAAACTCTCGTCAAGACTGACTGAAAATGTCGGGGCTTTTTGTTGGCAAAGAAGACTCTTAAATCGTGTAAAATAATAAGACAGGTGAAAATGTACATTGCTATTCTGATCAGAACAAAACTTAAATGAAGTGGGCAGTTTTTGGATCATTGTACATGAGGGAGCAGTAAAAGGCACACACTTTTTACTGTGATTATGGAGCTTGCAGTATGTTGTTATTGTTAAGTGCTGTCAAGTCTCGGGACTAATGGGGACCCAGTGAATGAGTGACCTCCAACATGTCTTGTCCTCAACTGCCCTGATCAGCTCCTGTAACCTCAACCCCATGGCTTCTTTAAGGGAGTCAGTCCATCTTGTATTTGGCCTTCCTCTTCTCCTGTTTCCTTCAACCTTTCCCAGCATTATTGTCTTTTCCAGAGAATCCTGCCTTCTTGTGATGTCCACAAAGTGGGACAGCCTCGGCTTCAACATCTTTGCCTCCAGAGATAGTTCAGGCTTGATTTGATTTAGGACTCACATGTTCATCTTTCTGGCAGTCCAGGGTATCCACAAAGCTCTCCTTCAGCACCACATTTCAAACAAATCATTTTTTTCCCCCATCAGCTTTCTTAACGGTCCAGCATGGTCAGAACAATTTCTGAAGTCTCATAAGTTAGACCTTAGTGATAGATCTCAAAAGTTCCCCGTCATTAGTGTCAGTTGAAGTGCATTAAACTTTCTGAATGGTGCAGTAATCCAACCTGCGGCTTTTGGAAAAATCTCAATAGAGATAACGCCATGATTAAGTAGTACTGACAGCTCTTCCCTCTCCCTCTAACAGCGAAGGAAGGCCCTGAGTGCATTAGCAAAGGAAATTGATTGTTTTCTTTTCCTGCCAGCAATTTTCTACTGCTCGGCTTATCCAAAAGGAATCTAATTGTGTTGGTGACCGGGAGGTTTCCTGGGGGTCATTGATTGCATTTCAGTTTGGGACGAGGACTTTTCACTTGCCACATTCTGACAAAGAGAAATTCCCCCGTTTGGCTTAAATAAAATGCTGCCTGTGTGGGTCATGGAGGTCCTAGGAGATGCTTTCAACATGCTGCGGGGGAAACCGGACTCTTCTTTTGCATGTCTATCATGTGGGTATCAAATAGATAATTGCTCATTCATGTTGAAAGGCCAATGTTGTTCTTTTGCTGGAAGCCCTCTTAAGAAGGTGCATAATTGTGTTATATATATTTTTATATTTGTGTTGCATTGTATGTTGTAAGCCGCCTAGAATGGTCGTAATGACCAGATAGGCAGGGTATAAATAGAATGAATGAATGAATGAATGAATGAATGAATGAATGAATGAATCAATCAATCAATCAATCAATCAATCAATCAATCAATCAATCAATCAATCAATCAATCAATCAATCAATCAATCAGGGGCTGCCCAGTTTTGGATTGATCAGGGAATGGCTTGAATTTCCTGTGTCCTTTATGCTGCCTTTAACTGGGACTTACCTGGAATGCAGTTCTGTGCTTCTGATAGCTGCATCTCAACCCAATATTTTCTTTTTTCAGGCATGAGGGATTTATTTATTTATTTTTTGGAGTGGGGGGATTCTTCATTTTAAAGCAAACCAGTTTAACTTCTACTTCCCAGATAAACATGCCATTTGGAACACAGTTGTGAATCAGACCGCACGTTCCTCCAAAGTTTCCAATAGCATGTTCAGGTCTAAGCTTGCATATGCAACTGCATGTATCAGGGAATGTTCAGAGTTTAGAAAATTTAATTTTTTGCACCATTGTTTTCCAAGCCCCCTGGTCAGCATAGCTACCGTTCACACCACCCGGGGGTTCTGGAAGTGGAGGTCAAACAAGGTGACTCTTCTAAGCTCTGGGGATTTTCCCCATTGACTAATGCATTCCAGTGCAACAAACAAACAAAAAGTTGTACTAGGTCTGAAAAGACTAACAAGTTTTATTGGGTACAAATTTTCATGGGCAAAAGTCCTCTTCATTAGGTGCAGTATCATTTTGAGGAGATATTTGTAGCACATTTGAAAAGTAATCTTGTTTTCATGAAGACATTCCCTTTTCCAAAATGCATTGCAAGCTTCAGAGATACGTGATTTCCAAAGCCAGATGAATTTTTTCCCATTGTCAGGCCAGGCTCAGGAAATTGCAAGTGGATGTTTTGGAAGGAAATATTAACTCAATGGGTTTCTTTTCATCTGTTTCCTTGTTGCGCTTTGGCAGGACAGGATCCACCAAAAAAAATTGCAACTATATACCAAGACTATCCAGGTTGCTATAATAACCTTGTGCGTTGTCTAGTTTTCAGCAGCACAGCCATTTCTGTGACATACCATTGCTTTATCCTGCAGTTTGGTTCATTTTCACTTCATCCTTAGAATTGCAGAGCTCAAAGGGACCCTTTGGATCATCAAGTCTAGCCCATGTCAAGGAGGCACAGCTAGATGTCTAAACCATTGAGCTATCCAGCAGGAAGACTATACCCAAGTAATTTGTGTAGCTGATGAATCTCTCTGTTTTTTCCCCCTCCAGCTCTCGTCACCAAGAGACCTCCTCAGCCGTTGTACCCTTTGGAAAACCAGACAAGCATTATCGAAGTCCAGTTGGGTAAGTGACTGTCTTGAATTAACTGAGAGGCAAAACTGAACAAAGTGAGCATGTTTTATTGTCAGTGTTACTACATGCAGATAAATTTTCTGCCTTCTCGTTTGTAATGGAGAGATTTATTACAGCAGTGGTTTAAGGAAATTGGGTTCTGTAGCCTCAAGGAATGGTGCTAATTAGATATTCAATATGAAGGGACTGTGACTCATTGCAAGAAATGATGGACCCATACAGGCCTAAATAGTGCATACAGTAGTTACTTTTTTGTACTGCATCGCTACAGTTATACTACATCGGTTAAAATGTAGAGCAATACTACAGTATAGTGAAGATAAGAGCTCATTCGGTCAAAATGAACTGTTGGAAGTTGAAAGTGTTGATGATGCACAGAGCACCAGTTGGGAAGTGGGGGAATTAGCTAATAGATAGTCCAGGTGTATCTTTTGAAAAGGTATCTTCTTATCTTTTCTAGATCTACATGTACTTTGAGGCTTCCTTTTTCCTACTTTGCCCTAGCTAGGTTCTCACATACAGTCATTCCCTGCTTAACGATTACCCCGTTTAACGACTAATCCACTTCACGACGATGTTTTTGCAATCGCAATTGAAGATCGCAAAACGTAGTTTTAAATTTTTTTTTTTCGCTTTGCGAAGATTGGTTCCCTGCTTCGGGAACTGATTCTTCCCATTACGACGATCAAAACAGCTGATCGTCAGGTTTTCAAAATGGCCACCGGGTGCTCAAAATGGCTCCCCGCTGTGCTTAGGGATGGATTCCTCGCTCTACAGGCACCGAAAATGGCCGCTCCTATGGAGGATCTTCACTGGATGGTGAGTTTTCAGCCCATTGGAACACATTAACCGGGTTTTAATGCATTTCAATGGGCTTTTTTATTTCGCTTTACGACGTTTTCGCTCAACAGCGATTTCCCTGGAACAAATTAACATCATTAAGCGCGGCACCACTGTAGTTTCTTCACAACGGTTGAGCCGACCTGCACATTAAGGATGTGCTGTAACCAGGTTTATGGCTTTTTCTCCTGCACTATCCCCGAATCATTTTCCTGAAGCAGTAAATGTAAATCCAATTACATGTTTTTGGATTAGTTGTTTCTTTTCAATAGCTTATGTTCAGTCAACTGTGGTGGCGTTCTGTTGCAATCAAAAGCATTTTGTGGACACTTGGTCTTGAACAAACAATTAAGATTCACTGGCTTTATGAGAAGTCTGCTTTTGGTGGAACTGTGCTAGACCAATATGGATTAAGACATCTGTCTGTGTTTTTAGATTCTTGACAATGTCAGCCAGGATGCACACCTGTATCTCAGAATTTACAAGCTATGCTACCGCAGTGATGCATTCTTAATGATACCAGGGTGGAGGGATGGCAGTTAAACATTTATTTGAAAATTGTAAAGTTAAGCATGGTGTGCAGAAATAGCAACACTAGAAAACGGGTCAACTGGTGAAAGTGTCTGGAAGGAGATTCAGAACAGACGACCTGTACACAAGGCATGGTTGAACGATGAAGTTCACTGATGCAGGACTTGACGATGGTAGTTCTCCTCTTCTGGTTTTAAAAGGAGATTGACCAAAGGGCCTTGAGAACTTCATGGAGCCTTCTCTTTCAGACGATACACTGCTTACAACAGTAGCCACAAAGAAAAGGCACTGGGACCTTCCCATCCTGCATGTAGGCTTTCCAGAGACATCTGATTAGCTATTGTGAGGAGCAGGATCCTAAACTGATTAGACCTTTGCCAGGAACTTTGTAGCGCTCTTTGCCCAACTTTTCAATATTTCATACCCAACAACTTTTTTTAAAAAAGGCACAGCCTTGCCATGATGAATTGCTGCTGTTAATGATTTACAATTGAACTGAAAGCCAATATTTGCATAGAATCTAAGTACAACCGTGTGCCTCAAGAAATCCAACTCCTTGCATGACCTAATTGTAGGCTTTTAAGCTTGGATAATACCCAAAGTTGGCTCTGTTCCTCCTAAGGGGGGAAAAATATCTTCCATTCCTTTGTAAGATGACAAAGATCAAAACAATCCAGTGGAGCCAAGTCAGAAAATGAAAACTGGAGCTGAGAACTTGTTTTCTCTAATTTTTTGCTTCCCCATGTTAGAAATTTAGAATGAGATTTCAAGAGAAATAGATGTTGTTGCTGTTCTTGCCGCGGCTGCTGCCACTGTCTCTCCTAAGCAGAATAGTTTCTTTTTACCGTTCTGGAAGAGACAGTAATGTAGTCCAAAGAAAGGAGCTGTCAACTGTTTATTGATCAATCTCTTATTCGTGGGTTCTGATTAGAGATGGACACAAACCAGAAAACTTCACAAGTTTCTGGTTTGCAATGGTTCGTGGCTACCCACGAACCCCGAACGATCACAAACTCCCCCCAAAATGAGCCAGTTTGCAGTTCATTGTCCAGGCTTGTGCTTGTGGGGGAAGGAGTGCTATTTGGTGATTAGGCCAAAGCTGCAATATATATATATATATAGTTGCAGGGGAAGTGGTGTCCTGTTCCTTAGCTAGGGTGTCCATTGCACTTTGAAACACGGTCTGGAATGTTATTGCGTGAACATCACAGGTCCTATTGGATAGCGCCTGTGTCTTGAAGGATTACGAGTAAGAATGGGGGGGTGTTCATATATGAATTCACCTGCACAGCTGGATGTAACAAGGGTCTACTCACATGTCAGCTGCTGCCAGTGGCTCCACTCTTCCTTCCATTCACTCCAGAGCTTTTGGTTGACTATCCATTCCTGGCAGAAGGAGGGAAGACAAGTCTCCCTGCCAGGCTGATGAGTGGATAGCCGATCACGAGTTCCGGAGCGACTGGAAGGGAGAGTGGTATTTGAATACGAATACCCCCATCACTAATTACAAATAATATGACTCTTTCATCACTATACTTATTCTATTTGAAATGTACATACTTGGCCTGCTGGAAAACATGTTCACATACAGACCTGATTGTTGTGGAGGTGGGTAGTGAAGAAGGGAAGAGTAATAGCAGGGGTCCTTCTGTTTGACATTAACAAATGCATTGTTTCTAAATCTGGTTTTAGTAATACGCTTACCTAACATTTTTAATACAGTGTTATTAATTTCTTCTTTATATTTGAATAATTTACTGTTTCCAACTTTTAATATTGTGTTTTTAATGTTGTAAACTGCCCTGGGTCCTTTTTTAGTAGAAAGACTCGGTAAAAATATTTTTATTAATTCATTAACTAGCTAATTAATTTGCAACTCGGCCTGTTTCCACAAAAACAACCACTTGAAAACAGTGGATTTTTGAAAACATTTCTTGCTCTTAGTTAGATTTTGAGAACTTTCCTGCTTTGCATTTTTATTAGGTATATTTTGTGCATATGTGGACACAGGGAACATGGGTATGCCCTTACGCAGCAGAGGAAGAACAAAAATGTAAAAAGGGGCTAAATTTTTAACCCCTTGCCGTCCTTATTAAAAAGCAATCACAATAACAACTTAGGGTTTGAAATGGATTCACGCTGTGGTTTTTATGTGCTTTTTACCAGGGCTTGTCATGAAAATGAGTTATTTGAATATGAATGGCTCATATACTCTGTAAATTACTGGATAGTCACATTCTGCTGTGCTATTTTGACCTTTTCAGCATTCTGCAATTTGCTTGGCTGTGCCATTCAGCATTCCCCCTTGTTTACAGCTTTATTAAATAGGCAAGAAGTGGCTGTATGGGCAGCCAATCAAAATATACAGTATTGGTAAAGGTCAGGATCATGCATCATGCAGTTTTCCCTACAACTGGCTATCAAAGATGAGGGCATCTAGATTTCTATAATGGGGGCTTCCACCCACCCACCCCATTTTCATTTGAGTGAGACAGAAAGGAAAAAATGGGATTTCCAATTTAGCTTCAATGGGGCAATAACAGGGCATTAATAATTGTCACCTGGTAATTAAAATCTCTACAAAAGTGTAACCGTTATCATCCTGAAGAAAAGTCACCACTGGCAGTGACTGAATATTGTCAGACATCTAAGATAGTCTTCCTCAATCTGGTGCCATCCAGAGATTGGCAAAGTTAATGAAGAAAAGTTAATAGGTTAAATTAGAAAGCTTTTTAAAAATGTAATTTGGTTAGATTTACATTGAAAAAGAGATGTTTTCAACAACTGAGTTTTAAATTGTGTTTTACAGTTACATCATGTTAGTTTGTCTGTTCATTCGTTAATTCATTCGTTCATGCAATTTGTATGCCGTCCATCTGGCTCCTAAGGCCACTCTGAGCGGTTCACAACATAATAGACAACAATAAAACATTGAACAATAACCACAAAACATAATAATGCAGTAAATCAAATAAACATATCACTCGAACAATAACCACACAAAACATAATAACAATGCAGTAAATCAAATAAACATATCACTCAATTAAACAAAAAAGAAAGACAACATGAAAACAATTAATAAAAACAAAATGATGGAATTGATCATTTAAGATCTGCATGATGTTTATGGAGTATTTCGAAATGCCTGTTTAAATAGCCATGTTTTCAAAGGTCTATTGTTACACTCCAACCTCTACCTGAATGAAGGTGGAAAATCTCATCCATGATTCTACTTCCTATAGAATCCTAGAATAACTGAGTTGGAAAGGGCCCTTAAGTCATTGAATCCAACCCCCTGCTTAGTGCAGGAATCTAAATCATGTTCAAGGAGTGGTCTACCCTTGCCCTCTCAATGAGTTCTCACAGCCGAGCAGGGGTTTTGAACTCCTAGTCTTAGTTTGACACTCTGTCTACTACATCACACTTACAGTGGTGCCTCGCATAATGAGTGCACCGTTTAACGACGAATCCGCATAGCGATCTAATTTTTTAGATCGCTAATGCGATCGCATCGCGATGTTTTAATGGGTAAAACATCGCATTGCGATGATCAGTAAGCGTTTCGCTTACCGATCTTCGCATTGCGATGTTTTTTTTAACCAGCTGATCTGTGATTC